ACGGAAAAGAACAAACGGATAAAGTTCTCGCGACGTTTTAGACATCGTCGAATAACTCTTGGTCAAAGTTAATAATCGCGAGTGCTAATAAAACCCATTGAGAGACAAACTGCATCAAATGCAATATACGTATGTAGGAAGCGGGGCAGTGGGACTGGAACGTTTTATTGCACTCTATTCTTTTGTTCCAGCTGAAAGTGATATTTATTGGTACAAGGACGCACGAACACTTTCACGCGTTACGAATAAAGAGCTTGTTCACGGAACACTGGAAAGGAAAAATTCTATGCAATCGATACGTGCGTACACATTCTAACGAATATAATTTCTTGATCGACGAAATTTAATTATCTACGACTCGGAATGCCACGCGTTTATGGAAATTCTAAGCATTTATTTGAGATATTAAACTGTTTTATATTAAATTTGCGATATTATATGATATATCATATTTATTATTTATTATATTTGTACATTATTTTTATTTATTATATTTATTTATTATATTTATTTTAACTATTTTATTCTATTTATTTGAGATATTAAACTGTGCTTTATATTAAATTTGCGATATTATATGAATATATTATATTTATTATTTATTATATTTGTACATTATTTTTATTTATTATATTTATTTATTTTATTTATTATATATACAAATGTTTTATATTGAATGCGATATTAAACCATTCGCTGTTAAACGCAACAGCGACTATAAAAAAACATTAAAAAGCGAACATTGAAATCGAATGTTATCTTGCAAAATGTCCCTAATTTATCAAAGTCGGTTTCAAATTGCGAATCACATAATCGCAATGGTAGAAACTCCAAAACTTAGTCCTCGTCTTTGAACAAGTAACGAATATATAAAATAGATATAAACAAATGGTCCAACGTACACGTTATGAACAACGAGTTGCAAAACGACAGGCAAAAACAAGGCGCGGAGACGATAGGAATAAACATCTCGAGGTACAGGATGTGATAAAACACAACGGGATAATAATTGGATGCGGCTGTCGCGACGACGCGTCCAATCAGCGTGTTTTGTAAGAATCCGTCTGTGTAATTACCTTTAACGGATGGATTAACAATCGGCGTGTGTCCATTAACTTCGATCGTTTCGAGATTTCCCGGAAGATAATATTGCGAAGAAAAAGTGATTTTCCTATTAATAATTTAGTACGATTAAATAGAATATAAGTGGCGAACGGTGTGCAAGAATTGCGATCGGGCAACATTGTCGGTAAAATTGTTCAAATTACATAAGACTGATTTAATTGTCTCTCGACCGGAACGATACGCGAGGCGGTTAAACAATAAATGGAATTCGGAATTCAAGTTGCAATCTACGATCTCACGGATTTCGATTTAATCGGACGAGAAACGCGAATATAAAAATAGAGTTTGCAATTTGGATTTCAATCGAATTCAAATTCTGAGCTGATAAATGAAGATTCGATTGTTTAACGCGATAATAGGATTTCGAAGTACAATTAATGATGTGAGTATGTACTTTCCTTCACGTTATATTTATTTTATATTTTATATTTTATATTTCGATCTTAAATTGCCTCGAAAAAGCTCGAATTCGCGCAGTGATTTTGATTTCTCAGATTCCTCGTTTAACTCGAATTATTATTAATAATTATTAATAATTATTACGTATTTTGCAAGAAATACATAAGTCAAGAAATAATCGACCTCGCAAATAAAATATCACATGCGTTTTCTTTTCGAATTGAATTTCAATCGTCAGCTGTCCGCGATACGTTTCAGCCGCCATATTTAATGCATATTCATACAGTGTGTTCGGAAAATCGTGGTGCAACCGGCAATAGGGCGATTCCACGTGCAAAAATAAGTCGAGAAAAAGGAATAACATTTTCTTATTTAAGGCTCCGTTGTCGAGAAAAATTAGCTTGAAAGAGCAATGCAGTAATGTCTCCCTTACTGACGCTCGGATTGTCCACTGAAATGGATAATTTGGGAAAAGGAGATACGATCGCTCGAGCCTTGCGGCTTATTTTTATAATTGTGGACAATTTATAACTATAAAAATAAACCGTGAGACTCGAATAATCGTATCTCCGCTTCCCAAATTGTCCATTTTTGTGCGCAATCTATCCGCGATACGTTTCAGCCGCCATATTTAATGCATATTCATACAGTGTGTTCGGAAAATCGTGGTGCAACCGGCAATAGGGCGATTCCACGTGCAAAAATAAGTCGAGAAAAAGGAATAACATTTTCTTATTTAAGGCTCCGTTGTCGAGAAAAATTAGCTTGAAAGAGCAATGCAGTAATGTCTCCCTTACTGACGCTCGGATTGTCCACTGAAATGGATAATTTGGGAAAAGGAGATACGATCGCTCGAGCCTTGCGGCTTATTTTTATAATTGTGGACAATTTATAACTATAAAAATAAACCGTGAGACTCGAATAATCGTATCTCCGCTTCCCAAATTGTCCATTTTTGTGCGCAATCTATCCGCGATACGTTTCAGCCGCCATATTTAATGCATATTCATACAGTGTGTTCGGAAAATCGTGGTGCAACCGGCAATAGGGCGATTCCACGTGCAAAAATAAGTCGAGAAAAAGGAATAACATTTTCTTGTTTAAGGCTCCGTTGTCGAGAAAAATTAGCTTGAAAGAGCAATGCAGTAATGTCTCCCTTACTGACGCTCGGATTGTCCACTGAAATGGATAATTTGGGAAAAGGAGATACGATCGCTCGAGCCTTGCGGCTTATTTTTATAATTGTGGACAATTTATAACTATAAAAATAAACCGTGAGACTCGAATAATCGTATCTCCGCTTCCCAAATTGTCCATTTTTGTGCGCAATCTATCCGCGATACGTTTCAGCCGCCATATTTAATGCATATTCATACAGTGTGTTCGGAAAATCGTGGTGCAACCGGCAATAGGGCGATTCCACGTGCAAAAATAAGTCGAGAAAAAGGAATAACATTTTCTTGTTTAAGGCTCCGTTGTCGAGAAAAATTAGCTTGAAAGAGCAATGCAGTAATGTCTCCCTTACTGACGCTCGGATTGTCCACTGAAATGGATAATTTGGGAAAAGGAGATACGATCGTTCGAGCCTTGCGGCTCGTTTTTATAATTGTGGACAATTTATGACTATAAAAATAAAGCGCAAGGCTCGAATAATCGTATCTCCTCTTCCCAAATTGTCCATTTTTCTGCACAATCTGAACGTCAATTAGGGAGACATTACTGTACTATACAATAGGAATCAAGCGGCGCGTCTGGTCATGAAATACCAATTCTACTGTCTCGTCGTATCACAAGCCACGCGAATTCGACGCATCTTCCAACTCGGTTTTCTCGAAAACGGAGCCTCAAATTAAAAAATGTTATTCCTCTTCTTCGACGTATTTTTGCACGTAGAATCACCCTCTTGCCATTGTACCGCGATCTTCCTGTATTAACGAGCCCTATTTAAAATACCGCGTTCGAATAATCAAGTCGTCGAGTAAAATCTGACGAATTCCTCCGGACAGAAAGCAAATTAACTCGCCTAAAATACTGCGATCCCATCAGACCCAACGTCCCAGCGGAAAAATATAACCGTGTTTGTTCCGTATTCGAAACAAATGTCACATCTCTCGGATTTATACGCTGGCAATCGACGCAGTTACGTTCCCGATTTGTCGTCGCGCTCGACAATTCCCCTACGAATTTAATCCGGTGCCCCTAGCACGCGCTGGTAGTCGTTTCCTTCGGTACGTCCAGCGCGGTTGAGTAAACATTATTTCGTATAATACCGCGATCCAATGACTCGTCGACGGACGAAAGCGGCGAATTACTTTGTTTGTTCCGCATCGGCCGTTCAAGTGCTACAGATGCATATATGTGTGCATCCGGCGAAAGCTGTTTATGTGGACTATGGAAAAGTTTGATTTCGTGATTCCTCGCGTACGAACGTTCAACTTAATACTTATATCCTACAATAAGTTTGAAAAAAAAGCATTCGAACAACTACCATCGACAGGCCAAGAAAACAAACACAGAAAAAATGTGTGGTCCTTAGCGATGGCCCAACCGAAGATCATTCCTCGAATGGTTCAAATCGAACGTCAGATTTCTCAAAATTTAGTCCGTCAAAATTTACACGTCGCGTGTCCCCGCCGCCTCGCCGTAATACAGTAATGTCTCTCTAATTGACGTCTAAATTGCGCAGAAAAATGGACAATTTGGGAAGCGGAGATACGATTGTTCGAGCCTCGCGGTTTATTTTTATAGTTACAAATTGTCCACAATTATAAAAACGAGCCGCAAGGCTCGAACGATCGTATCTCTATTTCCCAAATTATCCATTTTAGTGGACAATCCGAGCGTCAGTAAGGGAGACATTACTGTATTGCTCTTTCAAGCTAATTTTTCTCGAAAACGGAGCCTTAAAAAAGAAAATGTTATTCCCTTTTCTCGACTTAGTTTTGCACGTGGAATCACCCTATTGCCGGTTGTACCACGATTTTCCGAACACTCTGTATAAATATGCATTAAATATGGCGGCTGAAACGTATCGCGGATAGATTGCGCACAGAAATGGACAATTTGGGAAGAGGAGACACGATTATTCGAGCCTCGCGGTTTATTTTTATAGTCATAAATTGTCCACAATTATAAAAACGAGCCGCAAGGCTCGAATAATCGTATCCCTTCTTCCCAAATTATCCATTTTAGTGGACAATCCGAGCGTCAGTAAGGGAGACATTACTGTATTCAAGAATTCTCCGTCGTCGAATTTCACCGAGTGCCGAGAGTGCGCCGAGAGCACACACACACACACACACCGCCGCTCGTTTCCCCTGGAACGGCGAGCAGGTGGGGGGGATAAACAGGGGAAAAAAGCGCCGGGAAAAAAAGAGCTATGTACGGTCGCGGCGAAAGGAAGAAAAGGACTTAGGAAAGGTCGCGCGCCTGCGCGGACGATGCGCGTTCTAGAAAGAGCGCGCGCGGCCGTTCGTATATCCGCGTTTACGGTCACGTACGGCTGTTTTGGTAACGCTGTCGGTAACGTAGCGACGACGCGCCTCGCTGGTCGCGTCCAACAGGGCCACGGTGATAAACCTACGTCGAAGAATAAAAAGAATCCGTGGGACATTTCGCGGCAAAAGTTTTCGACCCGGAACCCCGGCTGGCTCGAACGTTCCCACGCGCGCGAGACTCGGTCTTCTAGAATCGTCGCCGGTGCGGTGGAAGTGCGCAGCAATCGTCGCGGCGAAGTATTCGCCGGCGCGGGGAAAAGGCGAGCCCGCATGTTCCGCGCGGCAACGGGAATCCCGCGTTTTGAATCGGATCGCCAGGGCTCGAGGATCGATGCTGTCCCAACATGGAGGGTGAACGGATTCCGCGAGTTGCCATATGGAGAGACCGGTGGGGAAAGGGGAGGAGGTAACAAACAACGCCGGGGGTGTCGGTTGCTTTCGGGTTACTTACATCAGTTAAGAGCCTCTCGCCTTGGGGGTCGTCGGGACGCGATGAGAAAACACGTTTCCGCCGATGGAAGGATGATGCCTCGTCTTGCTGGAACACGGTTGGTTCACACGTACGTATATCTCTCTATATATATCCGATTCTGTAGAACGTTCTCTCCTTGGTCCACTGTGCGCGTCGGTTGTGTTTATGCGCGATCGATCGCTGCCGCGTACGCCAGTTGTCCGGCACCCACACGTGACGTGTTCCGACCGGCGGCGTACCGAGCAGAGAATAGATATATATATATGTATATATATATATATGTATATATATTCGCCGAGAATACGTGCGAGCTGTCGTCGTGGTCGCGCGAGCGCGGTTTTCTCGCGTTTAGTCTCACGCTCGAACAGAGTCGAATGCCACACTGCGCGTCGGTTCCTCACCAAATACGGTTGTTCTCGGGGCTATAGGCGCGGAGCGTTTCTCCGGCGGGACCACCAAACAACAACAACAACAATAAAAGGGGGGGGAAGGTGGGAAACTTCGGAGCCGATCGACGACGCGGGTACGTCTCGCTGCCCGTCGTCCGTGACGGGCAGACGTGAACGGAACGAAATAGATTGGGCTGGGAACGAGCGAAATCGAGGGTGCTTGCTCTCTTGTCTGATCGATGCCGATTCCAATTCCGATTTCCACGAGTCACCGTTGCCGAGCCGCCTGCCTCTCGCTGGCTTGTCCTTCGGGAGGGCTTCGTCCGCGAACACACAACAAAGGGATCGGTGGTAGACCGGTAGAACGGCGTAATGTAAACTTTTGCCGTTTCCGACTGCGACGGAGCGCGCGATCAACCGACGGAACGAAAAAAAAAAAACAAATGCTTCTGCGGATGCAACGTTTGGTTTACGCGTCGACAACAGCACAAGTCGCCGCGGCGAACCAATTGACACTGACAGCGGCGTTCAACTCGAGCGCGCACGCACTCTGCCTCCCCCTTCCCCCCGGCGCCCTACCCCATCCCCTTCACTCGGGCCGCCTGTCACCTTCCCTCTTTGCCGTAGACACCTTCCCCTACCGTCGCGATCCGTGCCTTCCATCCCCACCGACCGCGAACGTCATCGGTTGCTGCTCCTCTCTACGGCTGTTTCGTGTTTCTGCACGCGGATCCTCCGATCCTCGCGCGATCATCTACGTCAGGGGTGTCAAACTCGAAAGCTAACTTGGGACCAATGAACGATGCTTAACTTTAGGTGGGCCGCAAAAAAAAAGAATCAATGTTCATAGACACAAATATTTTTATCTTGACTAGTACATTTTAATAAACGTATGTAAAGTTAAATTATTGTTTACGTCCTGATACTTGACATCTCTTCTCTGATACTATTGGGTTGGCAACTAAGTAATTGCCGATCTCAGTTATAGATGTCTCTCACTCCCATTTTTATGATATCCGTAAATGTTATATTATTATTATTATATGATATTATTATATATATTATTAATATATAATAATAATGTAATATAATATATAATAATAATATAATATTATTATATATAATAATAATGTAATATAATATATAATAATAATATAATATTATTATATATAATAATAATGCAATATAATATATAATAATAATAATTATTATTATTATTATATATATTATTATTATATTATTATATATAATAATAATAATAATAATTATTATTATTATATTATTATTATAATATATTATATTATATATATTATTATTATAATTATAATTATTATTATAATAATTATTATTATTATTATGTTATTTTGTATTATCCGTGAATGTTAGCAACTGGACAAATTGAATGCAGCGGTCAAGGAAAAGCGACCAGAATTGGTCAATCGTAAAGGTGTCATTTTCCAGCAGGACAATGCTAGGCCGCACACGTCTTTGTCCACTCGGCAAAAATTGATGGATATTGGTTGGGAATCGATGTTACACCCACCATATAGCCCTGATCTCGCGCCATCGGATTACCACTTATTTCGATCTCTGGACAACTCCCTTCGTGGTAAAACTTTTAATGATGACGACGCTGTAAAATCTCACTTAACTCAGTTTCTGGCCGAAAAGGATCAGACTTTCTACGAGCGTGGAATTTTCAAGTTGTCAGAGAGATGGCGAAAGGTCATCGAACAAAATGGAAAATACATTACAGATTAAACTTCGTTCCAAGTAAAACAAAATTTTTTATTTCATTGAACAAATCGGCAATTACTTAGTTGCCAACTCAATATCTTTCCTATTGCGGGAGAAATTTTATTGGCCGAGACTACTTTCAAAATTTCTAATTCACATTTCTATTTTATTTTGACTTTGCGCCGGATATATTGACTGGGCCGGAAAAATGTTCATCTCGGCCCGCGGACCGCGAGTTTGACACCCCTGTTCTACGTTATGTGATCTATGTAATAGGGATGCAAGGGGGAGGATGCATAATAAGGGAGGATGCGAGCGCCGCGTTACGATTACGGGGAGCCGCGGTCGAGAGCGAGCGAGCGAAGAATGCCGGCCGGTTTGATAACAGGCCGGACGAGCAATCGCCGCCGCGTATTTTTTTATATTCGATGGACTGTATCGTGTAATTTCATGAGAAAAAGAAACGCGAACTTTTTTGCAAAGTTCATTTCGATTGCGCCCGTTTATCGGACGTATTTACCGAGTACGGCGGCTTGCGAAAGCGTTACCAGGAACTGCGATTGATTGGATTGTCGAACTGATCCGGCTTCGGTGTACGAATTTCGTGTTAACGAATTTTGTAGAACGCGTGAATACAGAGAGTCTGATTAATATTCGGACGCTTTTTAAGATGCGATATGTTTTTTGGAACTGGCTAAACTACTTGAATTTGTTGAACGTGACAGAGGGATCGGTCCACTGTATGCTTTTTTGATATTTTGCAAATTACTTTGAGTGACGAGAGAAAATAAAAGGCTCTGATTTTTTAACTCTTTTGTCTGAGCCTGAAAGGAAAATTTAAAAAATGCGTTCTGCAGATCTCTATTATTCGAATAGTTATTATTCAAATAATATTTTCATTTTATTTGTTATTTGGTTTATCATTTGAAATAATGTTATTTGCTCATCGATGTATTCGAGATTACAGTACTGTCTCCCTAATTGTCGCCGAAATTGTGCACTAGAACAGACAGTTTGGGAAGAAGAGACGCGATTATTCGAGCCTTGCGACTCGTTTTTTGTCAATAACTATAAAAACTAGCTGCAAATTCTACTCTTAACAAAAGTAAAGTAAAATAATACTCTTCCCAAATTGTCCATCTTTGTGGACAATGCGAGCGTCAATTACGGAGACATTACTCTATTTTCAAATAATTTATTTTCCAGAGTAATGTCTCTCTAACTGACGCTCAGATTATGCACAGAAATGGACAATTTGGGAAGAGGAGATGTGGACAATCTGGGCGTCAATTAGAGAGACATTTGCAATGCTAATTAACAAGTAACAATTTTTTGTAATAGTCGACATCATTTTATGATAAATATTGCTCGACATGTACACCTAAATATCTAGTCGAATGATCACGAACATGCCAATAAACACGTGTACACAACTACAGAGAGAAACGGCAACGATCTAATTCAATTTATCCCTTAATGAATGCATAATTCACCCTGCATTGCTGCAGTTGCGATGTAAATCGATTCGAGAATACCTAGTCCAAGTCTTAGACAAACGAGGAAATCAGATTCAACAGTGCAATATTAACCGCCCTCTCTACTGGTCTAAATGTAACTAAATATGCGCAGCACAACTCTAAGGGATGATTCGAGTTCCGTAACGATATCCACCCTTGGCGCGCTGAAAAAATAAAGGAAAATAGAACAGTAAAAATCTAACGCAGATCTGACAAAATATCTAGACACCGATGTACAATGACTCACAAAAGTACTCGAACACCATTTAAAACGGAATAACTATTTCAGAACTGGACCAAATGACTTGAATTTTTGAGATACTAGATCAACTAATTCGCTAGAAAATGTCTAAGAACGTTTTCCTAAAAATTCGCCTGCATCGACGAACGAAATAAGAAACTCAGATTTCTTGTAACTTTTTTATCTGGCAACAATTTGGTTACAGCGAAATTGGTGTCCCAAAATTGTGGTATTTCCAGGAAATGTGGGGTTCCTGAGGTCGTTTGAAGAAACTTTTTCCTCTGCGAAAATGCAATTCGCGGCTTCGTTTACGAGTTATTGACGAAACGAAGTGACCAATGAGAGGCGAGATCAGCTGACGCGAGGCGGTTCAGCCAATGTGCGCGCGAAGCCCGGTACCTAGAATTCTCGAAAATATTCAACTGTCACGTCATTTCAACAATACTTTCCTGTGCAGTCCATTTCGAGCTGCACAATCAGTTCGAACACTCGAATCGACTAGAACAGATTAAACGGTGAGGGGGAGGGGGTTTAATTGCTCCAATCCGCAAGTACTTTCACGGTGACGATAGGCGAGCGGACCTGAGCGATTTTCACGAGGCGAATTCCCCGTCGACTCAAATGTCATGCGTCATAGACAGCATCGCTTCGGCTAAAGGTTATTTTGATTACGATTGTAGGATGCTACGTTCCAATCAGTGTTGTCTACAATTCCCGACCAATGACAATGTCAAAGCCCGACGCTGGTTTTATTTGGAAATCGAACCACTGATTTTTTTTCAGCCTCGAGACATCGGGCCATCGATTTTAGCCAGAATTCGGCAAAATTTTATTTGAAATTAATAAACAACGAATTACAAATTAGATTAAATATCTCATTTGCGAAGAATATTATTAACTTTTTCATTCGATTGAAAAGTCGATTAAATAATTTCACGGGTCATTTATTTATTAGTTTTCATCTGCAAGTAAAATGTTAATTTTTATTCGAATTTTAGGGGAAGACGAACAATAAATAATTTCGTGCTTCTCTTTCATTCGTTGTCCATTGTAGAATGGATATTTCGTACATTAGTTATGCGAATCAAATGTTAGTTTTTATTCGAATTTAAGTGACAAGCAAATGATAAATAATTTTTGTTTTTTTTCGTTCACCGGTGTTCCTAAGCAGGAACATACTGTTCCATATCGCGTACTTCAATTCTGTATTCAGTGTCCCTATTTTGAAACGCTCACTGCAAATGAACCTAATTGAATTGGATATGGAACACGGGGACATGGCACGAAAACAACGTGCCATAATAGGTACATCTACTTTAATAGGTACTAGTATTAATTTTTAATCATATAAAATATATAAATATCTCAAAGTTCATAAAGTAGCATAAATATTCAACAGGAACATACTGTTCCATATCGCGTACTTCAATTCTGTATTCAGTGTCCCTATTTTGAAACGCTCACTTCGAATGAACCTAATTGAATTGCACGAAAACAGCGTGCCATAACAGGTGCATGCTCGTACTTCGCGTGAATTTACTCGTATTAATTTTTATTCATATCAAATAAATATTTCGAAGTTCATTGCTATATCTTGAAACAACGATCTATTTAAATATAATACGTATAAATATTCAACAATAACACTTTTCAGTTGTAATAAAATCGACGATAAAAATTGTCTGCATCAATTGCAGAATATGGAAGTCAAGCATTGGTATTTTTCTTTCGTTAACGATTTGAATTAGTGCAAATTAATGCATCAGCACATTCGTAATTTCTTTTAACCCTAACACTGTTTTAAATTGTTCCTGCTCAGCTCTCTAGATGCACCGTGACGAACATGTGCCACACCTTGAACATCCCAGAGCCTGCTCCTGCCGCTCCGACATTGTGGACTTTTTCTCAGCTGGGGAAAAAGGGAAGGCATCTACAGGATATACGAAGAATCGGTGAAGATGGATTAATCCGAGTCCCTTTTGTCGGCGTCTTCCAGGTTGCTTACTCCGTGCGGGAGCAGCTGTTTAATCTCGCCGGGGATGGCCAGCAAGACGCAACCCCACCAAAAGCAAGGGTCCCCAGGTCGAGGCAGTGTTGGGCGTTTCGGGAGAAGCCATTCGGGCCACTGGGCCGAGCTATGGCCTTGTAATATACAGCTGCAACATGTAGTGAGTATTTTTTGGGTGTATACTGCCCTTTAAAAGTTCAATGATCTCTGTAGCACAACCCTTGTTTGGGAGTATGTTATCTCCCAGTCAACCTAATGATTGATAATGGGAGACAGAAATGAAATAAAGCAAAAGTTTAATTTCAGAGAATGCGTTGTAAGTTTTAGTTTATTCTCCTTGTTGAAATTGAATTGAACTGAATTGAAGTACAAGTATATTTGAAATGAAAATGTCTCAAATATAATACTGTAAATGTAATGTAATGCAAATGTAATAGAATGTAATGTAATGTAATGTAAACGTAAATGTAAATGCAATGTAAATGTAATGTAAATGTAAATGTAAATGTAAATGTAAATGTAAATGTAAATGTAAATGTAAATGTAAATGTAAATGTAAATGTAAATGTAAATGTAAATGTAAATGTAAATGTAAATGTAAATGTAAATGTAAATGTAAATGTAAATGTAAATGTAAATGTAAATGTAAATGTAAATGTAAATGTAAATGTAAATGTAAATGTAAATGTAAATGTAAATGTAAATGTAAATGTAAATGTAATGTAATGTAAATGTAACGTAAATGTAATGCAAATGTAATCTAAATGTAATGCAAATGTAATCTAAATGTAATGCAAATGTAATCAAATGTAATGTAACGTAAATGTAACGTAAATGTAACGTAAATGAAACGTAAATGTAACGTAAATGTAACGTAAATGAAACGTAAATGTAACGTAAATGTAATGCAAATGTAATGCAAATATAATGCAGATATAATGCAGATATAATGCAAATGTGATGCAAATGCAATGTAAATGTAATGTAACGTGATGGAAAAGATAACAGTACTAAAGTGTAATGTAATCCAAGCGGGGTTAACTGCAACTTCGTATCAGAACTTATCTTCTCTGATTGCCCACGACGTTCTATATATTTTACCTTTCACTGCTATCCTTCTTACCGACAGAGTTTGATTAGACATACAATAAGGCATCAAGTTAAATGGAATTAGCAATTACTTTCACCATCCTGTGAAACGATGTAATTCATTGCGATCCATAATTGTATTTCGTTTATGAATTTTTCATGTTATTCTATTGCATCGTCTCTAACGTTCTTTATTTATTGTTCGCGAACTTCTTCCGAAATCAGGCAGATTTCTGGAACTGTAATGAAAAAAAATCGCAAGTACGATCGCGTAATTACCGTTGATTATAGAACAATTAACTTCGGATGTTTAAACGAACCGGGACTTCCTACGTGAATAAACATTTCATGAGTTGTGGAGCTCTTATCTGGTCGCAGCTGTCACGAAGCTTTCGTAACATGAGTGATGCTTTACAATAATGGTAGAACCGAGAACGGACGTTATTTTTTTTCTATCGTAGAACAGCCACGGCTTATTCGTGTAAACGCGAACCGATTAGTAGACACACTCAACATCATCGTTTTATCTGAATTTTTCGTACGGTCGATTCTGCAACAATTCTGATTTAACCAATTTCGTGTAGATAAACTACATCGTCTTTAATAAATTAATCACCGTTTATATTGTTATATTATATTATATTATATTATATTATATTATATTATATTATATTATATTATATTATATTATATTATATTATATTATATTATATTATATTGTATTATATTATATTATATTATATTATATTAATCACCGTTAATAGTCGATTATCACATTTCGAATAAATTGTATCATTAGTCTCCCTTACTGACGCTCAGATTGTCCACTAAATTTTGACGCAGTAAATTTTGAGAAATCTGACGTTCGATTTGAACGACAATTTGGGAAGAGAAAATACGATTATTAGAGCCATCTAGCTCGTTTTTTATAGCTGTTGACACTTCGTAACAATAAAAATGAATCGCAACACTCGAATAATCGTATCTCCTCTACCCAAAATGTCCATTTTTGTGGACAAACTGAGCGTCAGTAAGGGAGACATAACTGTATATCGCAATAGAGAAATACGAAGTAGGTGAACCTGCGCTAAAATTTAAGTCGAAAATACGCAACGGAACTTTGCATATCGCACAGGAAAACATTTAACATTCGGTCTTGTTTTACGGAAAATAAAGTAATAAATAGTATATAAATGTCGCACCGAAAACTCATCGATTCTCAGGAGAGAAGTAATTACAGTTATCGGCCATGCGTATATTTTTCTGAAAAAGAACATCCTTCAAATCGAATTTTCACACATCATGCTCTTCCAGGCAATAAAAAAGAATACTATTTTTTTCAGATTGAAAATTTCTAAAATTTCGCCGCTTCGACGCCACTGTCCGAGCGTTAATTTTCGTGGAACGTTTACGGCTCGAGAACGGAGGAGGCTTCTTCGGCTGCCGAAGAGAGTTTCGCCGGCGAAAGGAGAATATCGCACCTCCGTTAATTTTGTAACGTTTCCAGTGGTTTCTAGAATTGCTACGGTCATCTATAGCCGGAAAGTGCATAGCCGATGGCTCTCCGGCAAAGCCGGTTAAATATTTCTGCATTGACGGAAGTTTCAAAGCGCTGTCGCCCCAGTTTCGCACGCGGTCTTCCCCATTGTAATCGACATTTCCTAGATCGATGCCGTCCTATGGACGTTTCTTCGGGCCGTAGCGTCGTAGCGCCGTTCACGCAGAAAACCATTCCGGGGTATACGCGGAAAAAGGAAGACGGTAATTAATGCAATTAAGATGCAACGTGGACGGGGCGGTGTCCGGTGCACCCGTACGCGCGCGCGCGCGCGTGCGTCTGTGTGTTCGTAGCGCGCACACGCGGGAGATCGTGCGCGGCTCGAATTAAATGCGCAAGCAAAAACGAACATAATGTCTGTCTCCGGGTTCTCGTAACATTCCCATAACGATCGCATAATATTTTCATAATATTCGCGCGCGATAAACGGCAAGGATATCGGGGCGCACGCGTTTATCGAACTCGGGCTCGGCCGCGGGTCTCGGGCCCACGCGTACCCCGCAATTTCTCTATCATTGGAAAAAGAGCAACGTGATGTAAGTAGCTGCTCGCTTTAATTGGCCGGCACAGGAATGGGAAAAAATCGTGTTAAATTGCACGCGACGAGAAATAGTTTCCAACTTTCGCGAGATCAGAGATTCTCGTACGGAATTCTTAACACGCGACAATGCCGCGTAAACTGTGTCGGAATAACGACGACCGACCTGTTATCCGTTATTTTTTAAATTTCGTTTCTGAAACGTTTCTTTCGATTTTCAATTCAATTTCGTTCGCGTTATATCACAATTCTTAATCGTTCAACGCGAAACGTTGCGACATCTTCGAATTTGCGAAATTTGCACCTCTGTTATTTTTTTTCAGCTTCAAGATCTGTTCTTCATATATATTACAAATATTTTTAATTTTAATTATTTAATTTTAATTTTATTTATTTGATTTTAATTTTAATTATTTTTCTATTAATACCATTTTATTGGGCAGCTTTATTTTATTAATGTAGAAAATAAATTCTGTTAAAACTCATTCTTTTACTTCGTTTAAATAAAAAGATGTCATATTATATGTTTATGAATATCTTTGAGAATACTTTTATCGAATAAGAAGACATTTTTGTAAAAATATCGCCTAAATAACATAAGGACATTTATGTATATGGATTTGGATAAGAATTTATAACCGAAATGTACATTAAATTGTAGGAATTTATTGAATTAATTATACACGAGTTTCGTTACTGCTCAAACTGTTGTCTACTAACCCAGACTGTCTCAAACAATGAACACTATAGAACTTTTAATTTCCTAAGTAATAAGAGCTGATTTTTAAGAGCTATTTAGTAGCATACGTGCTATAAAAGCACATATCTGTACACATCTGCGCGTTAAAAGACTTTAATAATGTCGCTGCATTATGTTCAGCCTTTTATTTAACTTTAGTTTGCTGCGATTGAAATAAACAATTAGTATTTCTCAAAAAAATCCGCAATCTGATAATCATATTCCACGAAAGGTCTGCTATCTCTCGGTTTTGTTCCCGTTCTTGACACATTTTTACGTATTAATCTAACCATTGTAACAATTGTTTACATTTTATTATCATTATATTATTACTATTATTAATAAAATAAATTGGAAGGGCATTTGGCCCGTTCATGCTAAATAAATACTGTGCTTCATCGGGATTATCAAGGCGTCGAGGTGGGTCCACGATCCAAGGGAGGTTAGGTAATCCTGAATGCAACGAGTGCATAGTTCGGCGTGGTGTGCGCCGCCATTTGCCCAAATAATCGTCCGTTCGTCCATGTAGATCCACGCATATTAGACGGGGAAACACGTCTGCAGAGTTTCAAATTGTAGGTCAGTCAGCTATCGCAGGTTATTGACTCTACATCAGATCGTTACTTTCACGTCACAATGTTGGTCGAGCTTTTAAATGGAAGCCGCGCGATTTGTCTATTCCCGGTCTCCTGCTCGGTTGTCGGTATATACGTTCGAATTCTTTCGCACCAACAACACAATAGGAAGGAAGAAACTTCTAGGCTGCGATTGCGACCGCAAATCGACTATGCCTCATCCGGGCGAAGCTGCTTCCAGTTGCTGCTTAACCTTTTAGGTACGGCTGAATTCCGCGCGAGGCTATCTCTCTGGACGGCAGAGTCTGATGTGTACTGTACAGAGTCTGATACTGTATATACAGGGTGTCCCAAAAATGTCTCGCAATCCGAAAGTGGCGGGTTCCTCGGGCCATTTGAAGCAACTTTTTCCTTTACAAAAATTTTCTCCGAGGCACCGTTAACGAGTTATCAACGAAAAACAGTGACCAATGAGAGGCGAGCTCGGCTGGCGCGAGGCGATCGAGCCAATGAGCGGAACTGGGCTTCGCGCGCTGGTTGGCTGGGCCGTCTCGCGTCAGCCGTACTCGATTCTTATTGGTCACTGTTTTTCGTTAATAACTCGTTAACGGTGCCTCGGAGAACATTTTTGTAAAGGAAGAAGTTGCTTCAAATGATCCGAGGAACCC